TAAAGAGTTATATTTCAGTTATATTTTATTTAGTTAATTCTAACATCCGTACTTTAAGTCGTTTTTAATTAATTATCAACAGTTATACTTTAACTTACTGTTAAGAACAGTTTTTATTTAATTATCAAAAGCCTTACTTTTATCATTCTAAAGAAAGGTTTTATTTGATTTTTAAAAAGCATACTTTCATTCATTATTAGAAAAGTGTACTATTTAATTTTAAGAGTTGTACTTTTATTTGCTAATAATAATCACTTTTCATTTCTTATCGAACAATATTTATCACTCATTATTAACAACCGTTACTTAGTTAATTATTTAAAAACCTTTAGTCGTTATTGATCACGTTTTTTCGTTTTTAATATCTTTTATTTTTACTGATTGCCGTCTTTCTCAACTATTATGGTAAATTTTTTCCTAATCATTATATAACACCATTATCATGTTAAAAACAAACTTATTTTATTTATGTATAACTAACTACATTTTCATATCCATAATCAATAACTACTAATTTCAATTATCATTCTTTGAATTAAAGCCTGATGATTGGAGTTTCTATATTAAATACAATATGGGAGAACAAAGTGCTTAAGTTCAGTTTATAAGAATGATGTTCCTTTCTGTATCTTCAATGAATCTCTGCGGTAAGTCACTAACTCCAATTCTATATCTATGAAAATACATCTGAATTGATGATTTCTGAAGTAATAGTATAAGTTATTAATTACAAAAAAATACTTTATATATATATATATATATATATGGTGTGGCAGGTGGTGCTAACATCCAGCCTCTGGCTTGGTACGTCATTCTGCTTGTTTGATTTCAGGTATTTAATAAAATTTATTTTATTCTTAAAAATACTTCCGTCCTTGTAAAGAAACACATTTTGAAAATAAAGTTTAATTGTTTGCTTCTGTTATTTTCAAAATAAAGAAAGGTGGGAAACACAAATTTTGAAATCATTAATATTCTATCACCTTTTATTTCGGATATTTGTGCAAAGCTACACAGAGAGTATCCGTGCTAACCATCCATAATTCTGAACTAATAAATTAGAGAGAATGCAGCTAATGAACAACACCCACCATCAACTCTTGGGTGATTCTAATCGAATAGTGAGATTTGACTGTCACTCATATAAAGCTTCCCAATTGCCAAGCACGATTTTAGGGCAACGGGACGAGAACCACGAGCTCTCGGATTCACAGTCCGTCACTATAACAGCCTGGGCGGTCCATTATCTTATTACAAAACCCTAGAATTATCGATGGGATCCACATTCCCATCATTTTTTTTAACACATGTTTCCAATCTATTTATGTACCACTTTGTTTGTGTATCCATTACTTTGTTGGTTACAAATCATGAGGACGACAGTAATAATGAAAAAAAAATGTTTATTAGACGTTTGGAAAGAGCTCAAAGTTTTACTGAGAATTAGAGAAAATTGTTTGTTTTTTTTTGTTCTTAAGCACAAAGCTGCACAATGAACTATCTGTGCTGTGCCCACCATGGGTATCAAAAGCCCGTTTTTAGGGTTAATAGGAAAGTGACGCATCATAGTCTAGAGAAAACATCAATTACTGTCCACTCCTTATTTTTGATCAAAATATCTTCAATATTGTAATTTTGATAAAAGAGTTAGCACAAAGGATCACATATAAAGTGTAATAGACTTAAAAAAAAAAGACTCAAAACTCGAGCGCTTTCGAATAGTTGACCTTTAGCCTGCGCAATGCAATATGTAGTAGGACGTGTGATGTCATGTAAACCGGAAGTCCCAGTTGAGTTGAATCTAGTGACCAGCCAATCCCAACTCAAGCCGTTAGTCTCCTGGAAGTGAGAATTATTTTGTAGAGCGAAATAAAAAAAAAAATACTATTAATTTGCATTGTGTATGAAACTTTTGACTGATAGAGAAAAATAAATACATAGGAAGATGAGAGATAGAGAAAATAATAATGTAAATCGATACCTGAAATAATAATGAAGAGAAATAGAAGCATGAATAAAAATGTGAATAATAGTAATAATAAAAACTTTACAAATTTAATTACAAGTTATTCGGAATTTTTTTAGAGACGCTCGAAGGTCAACAATCCCAGGATCGAGATTAATGCCATTCAGCGTTACTGTATTTAACAGTGCTATCCAATAAATTTCTTTAATTTCCTTGTTTCTGTTTGATATAAAATTTGTCTCTATACCTGTCAGTATCATGTCGTCAAGAAAGTGGTCAGGCATGTTGAAATGCTCTGCAACCGAAAGTTCTTTGTTTTGATTGAAGTTTCGTGGTTATTAAACCGCTCACGTATAGTTGTTTTAGTTTGGCCTACGTACTGGAAGTTGCATTTTCGGCACTGTATTAAGTAAATAGCGTTTTTTTTGTAGTGCAGGTTATGGGTTTATTGATTTTGAACTGTCTTTGGTTGTTTTTATCATAGAAATTGTTAGTCTGCTGCATGAACTTACAGGTTTGACAACGTTTGCCATTGCAGGAATAACTTTCACCAGTTGTCGCATTAAAGTTAACTTTGGCATGCACTAATCGCGATTTCAAAGTCTTATTTTTTCTAAAAGAAGCAACAGGAACTTTCGTAAAAATAGTCTTTAGTCTATCATTAAGTTGAAAAAGGTAAAAGTGCTTTTCCAGTACCTGGGGTAGGTTTTTTAATTTTGGGTGATATGTGATAACTAGTGGAACATGAGAGGAATTTGTTTTAGGTGACTGTTTCAAGGCAGATACACGTGGAATATTGTTAGCTTTGTCAACTTGTTTAATCAGTGTTTTGTTTATACCCTCTTTCAGTCATATTGTAATTAATCCTGCAAATTACAGTTGGGGTTTCTTACATATTTTACACACAAAATGAACGATTTCAACTTTTTGTTGTTGTGCTGAATCTTTTGCATTAAGTGTTGTGAAAGGTAAAAATATAAATTATTCAATGTGGTGCAGTTTATGGACCACGCCGGTAGTGAACGGTATAAAAACAAGTCGTTGATCTGAGGTTTAACTAAATAGTACAACATCTGTTTACAAAGGCATGAAAATCTGATAAAAGACAACAGAAATGCTCTAATTCGATGCTTTATGTAACATAAGAAAGACAACTGTGGAATTACAGTTCGACAGTGCTTAAACTACTTACTATACGTGGTCCGATCGTGGCCCAATGTTTAACATGAAAGATTGTGGATCCATGGTTCCAGC